TGCATTGTGGTAAATTGTGGTCAACGTCATGAGACAAAGTATATGTGAACTGCTGTATGGAAAGTGAATTTGCTCTGTAAATTTTCACCCAAATCACAACAACAACAACAAAAATAAATAATAAATAAAAGTATAAATCTAGGAAAATTAGAAGTTATAGAAAATAAAATGGAACACATAAAAAATTGATATCCTAGACATTACTGAGCTGAAATGGAATGGTTATGGCGATTCTGAATTGAACTGTTATATGTTCAAACCCACCAGCCAATCCTCGGAAGGAAGATGGGGCAATATACTTCCGTAGTGATACAGCCTCGAAAACCCAAGGAGGGGTCGCTATGAGTCGGGTCCGACTCGATGGCACACAACAACAATAACAACATGATCTACTATGTTTGCAATGACAAATAACACAGCATCACATTCATCATCAAAAAGAACATGTCAAGATCTATCCTGTAGTACAATGCTGTCAGTAATAGGATAATATCCATACTTCTGCAAGGAGGGCCAACCAGTTAATTCTGGTTCAGATTTAAGCACCAACCATTAAAACCAAAGATGATGAAATTGGAAAGTTTTTACCAACTTCTGCAGTCTGAAATTGACCAAACATGAAATCAAGATGCATTGATGTTTACTGGTGATTTGAATGCAAAAGTTGGAAACAAGGAAAGTATCAGTAGTTGGAAATATGGCCTTGGTGTTAGAAAAGATGCTAGAGATTGCATGATAGAATTTTGCAAGACCAATGACTTATTCACTGCAAATACCTTTTTTCAACAATATAAATGGTGACTATATATGTGGACCTCGCCAGATGGAACACATAGGATTCAAATTGACTGTATCTGTGGAAAGAGATGATGAAGAAGCTCAATGTCATCAGTCAGAACAAGGCTAGAGGCTGACAGTGGAACAGACTATCAATTGCTCATATGCAAGTTCAAGATGAAGCTGAAGAAAATTAAAGCAAGTCCATTAGAGCTAAAATATGACCTTCAGTATATCCACCTGAATTTGGAGAACATCTGAAGAACAGATTTGATACATTGAACACAAATGACTGAAGATCAGATGAGTTGTAGGATGGCATCAAGAACATCATACATGAAGAAAGCAAAAAAGCAAGCAAGAAAGAAAAGGAAAAAAATGGATGTCAGAAAAGATTCTTTAATGGAGAGTAGTAGCTAAAGCAAACGGTAGAAATGGAAAGGTAAAAGAGCTGAACAGAAGATTTCAGAGAGCAGCTCGAGTAGACAAAGCCAATTACTATAATGAAATGTGCAAAGACCTGGAGTTACAAAACCAGAAGGGAAGAACACACTTGGCATTTCTCAAGCTGAAAGAAATGAAGAAAAATTCAAGCCTTGACTTGCAATACTGAAGGATTCTATGGGCAAAAAATTAAACCACATGGGAAACATCAAAAGAAGATAGAAGGAATACACAGAGTCATTGTACCAAAAGAACTGGTTGATATTCAACCATTTCAGGAGGCAGCATATGATCAAGATCCAATGGTACCGAAGGAAGAAGTCCAAGCTGCACTGAAGGAACTGGTGAAAAACCAGTGTCCTGGAAGTGATGAAACACCCACTGAGCTGTTTCAACAAATGGATACCAATGCTAGAAGTACTCACTTGTCTATGTCAAGAAATTTGGAAGACAGCTACCTGACCAACTGACTGGAATGGATCCATATTTGTGCCCATTCTATAGAAAGGTGACCAAACAGAATGCAGAAATTATCAAACAATATCATTAATATCACATGCAAGTGAAATTTTGCTGAAGATAGTTTAAAAAACTGTTGCAGCAGTACATCAACAGGGAACTGCCAGAAATTCAAACTGAATCCAGAAGAGGACTTGGAACAAGAGGTGTCATTGCTGATGTCAGAAGGATCTTGGCTGAAAGCAAAGAATACCAGAAAGATGTTTATCTGTGTTTCATCGATTACGCAAAGGCATT